CTCCAAACTGAGGCCACTCAAAGAGCTATGTGCAACAGGTAAGATAGTTCTTATTCATATTTTTACCACTTCAAGAAAGCTTCTTTAAAATATAGGTTGCACTCACGATTAGTTGGACCTTGATATGCACTGCTGCATGATGAGCTTTGTGTTACTATTAATAGAGGATGGTACAGTGTGTCTCTGAAGTGTTGCCTTCACATACAAACATGCCTACAGATATTACTACTCACCATTTATTATTTAAAAGGTGTTTCTTGCCAGAAGCAGGTGTTAGTCAGGTGCTTCTGACTCTGCAGATTCTGCTGTAAGTCAGCTTCTGACACATGTTTGTAAGTTGTGACTTTTTTTTGTTTTTGYCCCATTGTTTTGAACCTGTTTTATGTTGTCTTGTTAATTTTCAGATCAAGAGTATTTTTCAGAAGCCACCTCTTGTTTGGGGARGTATTGATCACCCTGAGAGCTTCTAATTAACATGACTATACATACGTACTTTAGCCACAGACTGYATAAATGTGTTTTTTTTCTCAGCCTCATGAGATTAGCTTTCTTTGATGTAACCCCCCCCGCATTCACTTTTAATTAATACTGGTGGCTCAGAGGTAGCTCATGAAAGAAAATGTGCATTCATCTGGTTATGATWAAAAAAAAACAGAACCCAAGGCTGCCAGGGGAGACAGTATGTTTGAATAAAAGAGTGATTGCAGCAGCACAGAGCTGGCACATCGACTGGCGCTGTCTTGGGGTTAGTTGGGGTTTCTTACTTTAATTGCTTCTGTAGCTTCTTCATTTATTTCCTCTTTTTTCCCCCCCCCCCCCACTTCCCACCCAGCCAATCAGCTCGTGAAACAAAGGCGGCGTCCCACGTGCTACAGACGGTTTGGAGCTACAAGGAGCTGCGGAACGCTCTGACCAAGGACGGCTGGAACAAGAGCCACTTTCAGGTACAGAGCCTCAGCTTCCATGCAGGTTCTTCTTCTTGATTTTAAAATCTAAATCGTTCATATCTTGGTTCTACAAATTGCTTTGCAGTCGTTCTCATTCACCAGTTTGCAGACACTCATACAGCACTTTCTGGTATATTTGCACCTTTTTTTCCCTTCCATGTCACACATTAATCAGTATAAAAGGACTAAAAGGAGCTTTAGMCTTAAGCACAAAGATGCTTTGCATTAAACTGGCATGATTTTCTGACTGAAAATACTGCTGCTCTAACACAAACCCKCAAATTAAAAATCTTGTCAAACGTTTGTTTGTTCTCTCAGCCCACTGTGGCAGTCACCCCTAAAGCAACCAAGAATGGCAAACCAGGTTATGACGACACCACTCTGCCCCTGATGGAGAAGAACCAAGGTCAGTGTGTGTGTGTGTGTGTGTGTGTGTGTGTGTGTGTG